GAGAAAAAAAAATACAAAAAAATTCTACATTTTTAAGTCCTTAGTTTCATCATCAATGAAAATCATTATTTTCTTTTTTATTTTCTTTACAAAAATTATTTTTTCTTTCACACAAAGTTTTATTATTACTTTTTTCTAACGTTTTGTTATAAAGTTTTCTTATTACTTCCTTTTTAATTTTTTAATATCGTTTATTATTTTTACTTTTTTCTTTTAAAATTTATATTGTTTTCTTTATTAAATTCTAATAACCATCGCAGATAGAAGCTTATAAACTACTACTTTTAGTTACTTAATAAATTAGTAAAAATGTATTAGTATATATTGAATAATTGAAAATGCAATATAAGCTTATATATGCATATATTATATAAATATAATGCATTACTGTATACACAAATTAACATAGAGTGATGCAAAAGTTTTCATACATAAAAAATAGGTTTATTTCATTTTATTATATAGTTACAAGTTACAGAATATGATATGCATGAAGTTCCATTTAATTGAATGTACTTACAGTACGAATCCATTCGTATTATTCTTGATAAACATAAGTTAACATACTGATATTATGTATGACATTACCCACATACATCACAAGGGTATTCTTTCAGTTGTCCTGTGTTTTGTATGAAGACTTTTGAATCACTCTATATATATAAGTGTGCACACATAAGTATATATAAGCTTATATAAGAAAAAAATAAATATATATACCAAAAATTAATTTTACATTAATAAAAATTAAAATTTTCTATAAAATCATTAACGATATTTAAATTTGTTTCTCGTATTTACTAATGTAATTAAATTGAGTTCGGTTTTCCTCCTTCAGATAAAGAAATCAAATAAAGACACTGTTCTTCTAATTGCATAAACTATAAAGAAGTAAACATGGTTTAATTTAATCGCATTTAATTTTATCTTAATCGAATCTAATTACTGTTTTTATTTATTTATTTATTTATTTATTTAATTACAGTATTTCTATTTAAGAAAGTACAAGTAACAATTTAGAAAAGAATTAAAACTATAAAATAATATAAATACGTTTCGATATTATTATTATTATTATTATTATCATTAAGAAATCTCATTTAAATTTAATTATTAATATCACATACCAATGAAAATTGAATTTTCTGATAATCTAATTACTTGAATTTATAACTAGGGTAACTGTTTAATGTAAGTGTAGCAAGTTCATCAATCACGATTAAAATTAACTTTAGTTAAAACCTTGTTAATCGAATAAGTTAGTTAGAAAAATCTTAAAAGTAAATTGAGAAGTTCATCAAAACTTTCTTTGTTTTTTCTTTTTAATAGATAAGTTTAATCGCTTCGAGAGCAAAGTGTCCTTTTCGTATAACACGAAAAAGTATATAACATTGTATAATTTTCTGAATTGGAATCAATCCAAAATAGTTCAAGGACATTTAATAAGTGAAAGTAAAGTTGTGAAAGTATAGAAATTTATTCAATACTTCTTTCATCTTTAATTAATTTTGCTTAATTGTTACTCTAAAAAAGTGATTCTGACTGATTTTCTGAGTTATTAAAAATTATATTAAAATATATTTATTTATTTTAACAACAAAAAAAAAA